GATCCAGTGTCGTTAAATACTATTTTATTCTTTCAGGATGCTTGCAGTAAATAGCTATTTTACTTTTCAAAGTATCTTAACACCCTGTCTCATTTAATGCTTTTCAGTAGTTCTGTGACACTGGTGAGGGCTGGTGTTATTATGCCTATCTGACATACGAAATTTCAACTCAGCTGATTTGTGACCAAGCTGGAAACAAAAATCCATCTCCTGCCTCAAGTCCTGTCCTCTTTTCCATAGGACACAGAAGGCATTTGAAGTTTTATGTATCAGAAGTTGCTGAGTACCTACAGTCCTTGAGAGCATGTTATGCACCTGGCTAGATGTGCCCTGTTACATATGGCACACTGTCTTTGGCTCTGAGTCACTGTACTGGTTGGTTATGTTTGTTACAGTGGAGCCAGCCCAGGATTTTGTTACTCAGAAGCTGCTCTTTGTTTAGCATCAGTGTCTCCTTCCGTGTCCATCCTGCCTAATTCCCTCATGCTTATCTCTGTGTGCTGCTGCACCTCCACTACACATGCACCACTGCATGAGGATGCTGCCCAGTAACTTGGGTGAATAAATGGAAAGCAGAGAGAATGTAATGTGAGCACCTTATTCTGAGGCCGGGGCATTCCATTGGACCCTGCCTGTGGTCACTAGACCTCATGGGCACCATGATTTCCAATGAAGAAGGCGAGGTGCAGGAGGGCTGGGCACCTGGTAGGGGAAGAGTTTCCATTTGCTCCTTCACAAGGACCAACCAGTAACGAAGGAAAGCACATGTAGCTGAGGATTTTGTGGGCCAAACCCAGGGGGCCCAAAGGATATATTGATAGAAAACAACAAAACAGCGTTCATTCCATGATGGAGTGACTGAGAAGGCTAGTGGATTGGTGACTTTTATATTTTGTTACCAAATTCCTGAGCTGGAAAACCCCAGATCTTGACCTGTGGTTTGTGGGAAAACAAGTTTTACTGGGTAGAAGTGCAGTTGTATATTTGATAGTGGTATGTCAAGAGGCAGATTTACAGGTAAATGTTCCCTTGAACATTGGGTTAAAGAAAAAAATCATTGGTGAGTTTGGTAACAGTGGTTTCTGCTAAATAACATTGTGCTATAGTTTGATAGGGATGTCATAAGACTTAAGTGCAAAGACTTGGAAGGTGCTTGAGTCAGAGTGCTCTGTCTTAGTTCTGTTTTGCAGTGGTCCTTTCCCAGTAGCTTCAAAATGTACAATTTTCTACACTCTACATTAAAATTACATTTAATCCCAGATCTTAACAGCCTGGCTTGGCTGTAGAATGGACAAAAAGATATAATTATCTTGCTTTAATTGCTTTTCTGTGGCTACAAAGTAAGGCTGTAAGACATTTGAGGGTGTCTCTCTCCCACCTCGGGTCTTCATTGTAATTTCTTTGAACAACCTTTTCTAAGGAAATGGTAGAAATCTCATTCACATTAAAGGGCCTTTTACCTTGGCAGTATTGGAACACCTGCACTGAATGTGATGCCCGTAGAGATGCACAGGTTTCCCTGCTATCCAAAAGTAGACTTTCCCTATAAAGCCTTTCCTAAGCTAAAATGATGTAAAGTAAAGAAGCAATTGCCATTAATGTATATGGGGAAAATATATGAATCTTCCCAGACCCAAAAAATGACCTACTGAGTAAAATAAAATACCAAATAACACATAAAACCTAAAATAACACTAACTAACATACAGTGTTCATACTGTTCGAAGCTATGGCAGCTTGATGCTGAGTGTAGTTCCCAAGGAAGGAGTTGGGCGACGTCATTCTCGTTGCTGAGGGTGTGTGATGCCTCTTTTAACAGCTTGCTGCAAAACACAGAATGCTAGTTTCCCTTTTCCTCATTTTTCATAAAAGTGACAGTCTTTGGATTTCTTTTGGTTAGCAAAAACAGGTACTAAAGTAGGTCTTCGTAAAAGCAAAGTGATGTAAAGCGAGCTTTCAGAAAGTGGGGGCATAACTATATCTGTGTGGTCATGAAGAGGTGTTTAAAATTTGAAATCTGCATAGTATTTCTCACAAAATGAAATTGGTTCAATCCTTCAAAGCTCAATGCTGTATTAGAAGGTAATATTTTTAATGACAGTTTTTAGAGACATAAGATAGCTAGTATTTTTTATAAATCTGTTTAACACAAGGAATACAGACAGTTGAAATATCTAGTTGAGCTCTTTCTTGAACATCATTCCCCTCCCCTCCCCCATCTGAAGAAAGAAAATCCTCAGGAGCATTCTTGCATGTAAAGGCCGGACATTGAATAAGGAAGACCAAAGAAGAGTTGATGCTGCAGGGCTGTATGTAGTGTTAGTGAAGAATACTGAAAGTCCCATGGACTGCCAGAAGAAGAAACAAACCTGTCCTAGAGGAGGTGCAGCCAGAATGCTCCTTGGAAGAGAGAATGGCCAGACTTTGTTTGATCTACTTTGGTCATGTTGTCAGAAGGGACCATTCCCTGGAGAAGGATATTACACTTGGTAACATGGAGGGTCAGTGAAAAAGGGAAAGACCCTCAATGAGATGGACTGACACAGTGGCTGCAACTGTGGGCTCAGGTATAGAAAGGATTGTGAGGCTGGCACAGGACTGGGCAGTGGCAGTGTTTCATTCTGTTATACACGGGGTCACTGTGAGTCAGAGCCAACTTGACAGGACCTGTGAGCAACATACTTGTTCATGATCAAGAAGGAAGGTAAAATCCAGGCTCTTAGGACCCTAGAGATTGCATGGGATGTTTAGATAGTTGTGTTGTACTAGAGCAGTACTTTATATCTACTCTCACAGCTTATACCATTCACAGTCATAGTCCTGGTGTTTGGTTATCTGTGTTATTCACAGCTTTCTTTATCTCCAGCACCTAGAATAGTGTCTGACACCATTTGGAACTCTGTTTGTTGAATGAATAATGTCATGAACTCCAGTAATTTTCTCAAATTGTTCTATAGATACTCTCCACTCTTGTGACACTATGTAGGCTGTAACAACCTTTAATATATTTAAAGTATATTTTTAATAAAATATAACTGAAGTACTTCTTTAAAGATGTAAAGCTCTTCTTACAAGATCTTAGACAAGGTCACTGGAAGGTAGAAATAGATGTTTGCAACATTAAGAAGAGGGTGCCCCTTTAGAAAGATTCTTTTTGGTTTTGTGGAAAGAGGATGTGCCAGACAGCCACTAGTTCCAGCTTTTGTACTAGGCAATATGAAATATCAATGACAGCACAATCATATCCTACCTTAATTCAATAATTTTTCATTACTGTTGGTAAATAATCCTGCACCTTCTATTTTTTTAAATATGTGTTTGTGTAGTTGTGTGAGGAAGAAGCACTCAGAACATTTATTGAGCTTATATCATGGAAAGGTTAGGAGTTGGAATATTTTAAGGGGACAGTCAGACCAGGGGTTTATCGAAAGGAGAGAAATTACCTGGTATTTAAAGAACAGAGTAGTGGGAGGAGCTCATTTTAAGGCTTTTCTTGGATTAGGATCATCATGATACTTTGATTTAACTTCATCGACCCAGGAGTTCTTCTTTAGAGTAGGCCTTATGTTCTTGTGAGTAATCTGTTACTAGCCACCTAAGATTTAAACATTTAAAACTTTCCTTTGAAATGTACCAGAGTTTTAATCAAATATCTTAAAATACTAACATGGGTAATTATGTGAAACTAAATGATTTATGTATATTGTTTGATAAATGATTTTGTTTCTCTGAAAAGGTACTCTCTGTGACTAAAGTTGATAAAAATCATGAAGAGACTGCTGCTTTTTCTTCCTTTAAATAAGGAGCTGGGAGCTCTGGTAGCATAGTGCCTAAGGCACTTGACTGCTAACCAGAAGGCAGGCGGTTCAAACCCACCAGCCACTCCTGAGAAGGAAGGTTGGGCAATCTACTTCTGTAGTGATACTGCCTTGGAAACCCAAGGAGGGATCACTATGAGTCGGGTCCGACTCGATGGCACATAACATAATGTGCCAAGTATAGTTCTAAGCAATTTCTCTTTATTTTCTACTGTCACCCTCAATAGTCCTAAAAGGTTGTACACATTTCAAGATGACAAAATTGAAGCATCAAGAGAAAAAGTAACTTGCCCAAGATTCTAGTTGTTGTTGTTGTTGTTGTTGTTATGTGCTGTCGAGTCGGACCCGACTCATAGCGACCCCTTCTTGGGTTTCCAAGGCAGTATCACTACGGAAGTAGATTGCCCCATCTTCCTTCCGAGGAGTGGCTGGTGGGTTTGAACTGCCAGCCTTCTGGTTAGCAGTCAAGTGCCTTAGCCACTATGCTACCAGAGATTCTAGGCGGTACTAGAATTTTAAACCCCAGACCATCTGGTTCCAAAGTCCATGATTTTTAATCATTCTCCTTATGATTACCCATATACTATAATTACCTTGTTAAATGTTCATTTTGCCATGAGCTTTCAAAGAATCTGATTTTATTAATTTGAATTGATTTCAAATTATCAATAAAATGTTGTGTTTTTTTTTTTTTTAAATAACATAGGCTTGTTCTCCCCCCCCCCAAAAAAAAAATCAGTTCTAATCCATGTTTTTAAGCTGTCATTTAAAATTTATCATTATATCTTGGAATTTGGCAGATATCTACTTGTTCTTGATATAAGGCAAAGTATGAACACCTATTTTTATTTTAATATTTTTATACCCCTGGAAGGAGACTGTATTGGGCAGTTTTCAAACATTGGCAGATTTCAAACATTGGACCAAATGCTTTATTAGCTGTTAGTTACTGTTGTTCTTCATCCTGTTCCTATTGTTGCCACATGTTCTCTACCTTACCTCTCCCAGAACATAGGGGTGGTTGATATCAGAACAAATTATCATGCTACCTGAAATGATTGTGAGTCTGCCTGTCCCATTCTCGATTCTTCTGTTAAGAGAGAAAAGCAAGGCTTGCTTTGTATTGATTTGCTCCTTTTTTTTCTTTTTTGGTGCAGCTAACTAAGTTTATGTTTCTTTTAGCTACATGAGAGTGGTTATGATGCTGGCAAAGCCCTGCAGCGCTTAGTAAAGAAGCCTGTGCCCAAGCTGATTGAAAAGTGCTGGACAGAGGACGAAGTGGTGAGTGGCATTGACCTTGTTGTCTGGGTCACCAGGATGTTTACTTCTCAGTGTATGACCTCCCTGTTATTGGAGGAACAGGGTTCATTAGAAGAGTTAGCCATTTTTTTTGGTGGCCCATTCACCACCCCATCAGTCAAGGGAGACAGGAGGCAGCCTTTAAGCCTTAAAATTGCACAAAATTGATTTTAGTAAGCTTAGGTTCCATAGCTGGTGGGAAAGTAGTGTCCTCCATATTGCATGAAAAGACAGGATAAATTGATAGTTTTAAAAACTTTTAATTTTGGTTTGTTTTTGTACAAGCTAGCTTTTGATTCCTCACAATTTGGAGATAAAAGCATGTTAAAACCAATTGATACATAACCTAGAGAAGGTCTTTGTTGTTGTTGTTGTTGTTATTTGCCGTTGAGTCGGACCCAACTCATAGCAACCCCTCCTTGGGTTTCCGAGGCAGTATCACTACGGAAGTAGATTGCCCCATCTTCCTTCCAAGGAGTGGCTGGTGGGTTTGAACCGCCAGCCTTCTGGTTAGCAGTCAAGTGCCTTAGGCACTATGCTACCAGAGCTCCCAAAGAAGGTCTAGTAACTTGTTTTTATTTTGAAAGCTGGCAAAACCCCTAACTACTGAAGGATATTAGTCAAAGCAGGAAGCAGAGTTTGATTAAATAAATACAATGAATTTTAAATATCCATTTTACTGCTATGGCCCTTAGCGGAGGTGGGAGGGCAGAGAGAATGTGGCCATAAATACATATTTGCAAACTTACAGATTTCCATACCAGCAGTCTTCATAAAGCTGCATCTCCATCTTGTGACTCTTAAAAAGGTTTTGCTATAAAATGCTTGCAGATTTCTTGTGCTTTCACAAATACAGTCTTCATTGGGAGTCTGTTGGTAACTTGGCATTTGCCCTTCAGGTTGAATGAAATTAAGGTGAAGGCTGACATTGTTTTACATCCTGATTACAGGTTCCTCACTTGCATTTTGAAATATGTAGAAAGCAAGCTAGAATTGTTACGTGCTTTCCTCATTTCACTCTCCTTTATCCATTTAATGAATGCCTACTGTGTGCCAGGTGCTGTACTAAGTACATATTGAAAAGAACAAATCCTCCTCTCGTTAATCTTATGTCTTCAGAGAAGAGGCCATCCCTGAGTTGATATAGGTCATGATGGTTGTACATGTGCTGAAGAAGAATAGAGTAGGGTAACAAGGATGAGGAGTAAACTGAGTGGGCCATTATTTTACATAAAGGGGTCAGGGAAGATCTGGTAAGTAACATTTGAGTGGAAAACAGTGAAATGTAGAGATGAGCCTTTTAGATTTCAAGGTGAAGGGAATTCTAGGCCTTAGCCTATAAGCATAGTTGGCACGTTCAAGAAATAGGCAGAAATATGTCTGGAAAATAGTGAGGAAGGGGAATGGTAGGAGACGTGGATGGTGGGTAGGGAGGGGGCAGATCAGGTGGGACTTCTTAGACCCCTGCTCAGGGCTATGCCATTTGCTTGCCATGAGCAGATTCTGAGTACAGGATGTGACTCAGTGGGACAGTAAGGATCACTCTGGCTGCTGAGCTGAGAGTGGACTATAGTCCAGGCCAGAATCCAGTCATTTATAAGAAGTAGCAGTGGTGGTGGTGAGAAGTGGTGAGATCCTGGATATATTTTGAAGGTAGGGCCAAGAGAATTTGCTCATGGAATAACTATGGATAATGAGGAATGGGGGCATGAGAAGAATGAGGAAAAGGTAACTGGCAGCAGAGATGGATTGAAATGAGATTTGAAGGTTTGGTCATAACATGCCATGTGAAGAATCCTTCAAGGCTTTAAGTTTATCAGACTTATGAAGCTAGTTTAGCTGTTTTGAAATAAAATAATAAAACTCTTAGCTGATTAGTAGAGAAATGAAAATGGCATTAAACATTTTTTTATTATTCAGACAATAGCCAAAGTAAAAAAATGTAAACTCATTTGTTCCGAACAGTCATATTGATGTTGTTTATTACTGTAAAATTACTTATGTGAGGAGATAAGAGATTGCATAGATAAAACTTTTTAATTCAACAAAAGATTTTATGCAAATAAGGCATAAAAAGACAAAAAGGGTGTAAAGAATATGTAAAATGTGACTGTTAAACTACACTTCCCAAGATTTTATTCAGTATTCTTATATTGCATTGCTGCACCTAGCTTGTTACAGACTTTAAGTCATTTTTGGTACATGTATACACAACAATTGCTTCTAGTGCTTACTCTCCTTTAGGTCTCAAGCATAATTCTTCTCTCTCTTCTCTTTCCATTTCATTTTGGTGAAACAGAACTCCAGTAGGTTATATATATCTTCTTGTTGTTGTTAGGTGCCATTGGGTTAGTTCTGACTTATAGTGACTCTGCGTACAACCAAATGAAACACTGACCTGTCCTATGCCATCCTCACAGTCATTGCTGTGTTTGAGCCCATTGCTGTAGCCACTGTGTCTATCTATCTTGGGTCTTCCTCTTTTTCACTGACCCTCTACTTTAATAAGCATGATATTCTTCTCCAGGGACTGGTCACTCCTCATAACCTGCCCAAAGCATATGAAATGAAGTTTTGTCATCCTCACTTCTAAGAAGCATTCTGGCTGTACTTCTTCCAAGACAGATATGTTATTTCTTCTGACAGTCCATGGTATATTCAGTATTTTCCAACACCATAATTCAAATGCGTCATTTCTTCTATGGTCTTCCTTATTCATTGTCCAGCTTTTGCATGCATATGAGGCAATTGAAAATACTGTGACTGTACAGCTTAGTCCTCAGTGTGAAACCTTTGCTTTATAACACTTTAAAGAGTTCTTTTGCAGGAGTTTACCTCGTGCAGTACATCATTTGATTTCTTGAATGCCTCTTCCTTGACTGTGGATTATGGATCCAGTAAAATGAGTTCTTCAATTTTTTCTCCATTTATCTTCATGTTGCTTTGTGTTTATTTTTTTGTTTTATATTGAGGTGTAATCCATACTAAAGACTATAGTCTTTGATCTTTATCAGTAAGGGTTTCTACCACGCATCTGTCAGTTTATCGTACTGTCATGGCTTATGGGTTGCTGTGATGCTGGAAGCAATGGCACTGGTATTTTCAAATACCAGCAGGGTCACTCACCCATGGTGCACAGGTTTCAGTGGAGCTTCCAGACTGTGACAGACTAGAAAGAAGGACCTGGTGAAGTACTTTTTTTTTTTAAAGGGGAAAAAAAAGGGGCCAGTCAAAACCTTATATATAGCAGTGGAACATTACCTGATACAATGCTGAAAGATGAGCCCCTCAGGTTGGAAGCTGCTCAAAATATGACTAGAGAAGTGCCTGTTTCTTCAAAGTAGAGTTGAGCTTAATGATGTAGAAGAAGTTAAGCTTTGGGGACCTTCATTTGCTGATAAAGCATGACTAAAAATGAGAAGAAACAACTGCAAACATCTATTAATAATCAGAATGTGAAAAATATAAACTATGAATCTAGGAAAATTGTCAAAAATGAAATGGAATCTTGAAGATAGATATCTTAGGCATTAGTGAGTTGAAATGGACTAGTACTGGCCATTTTGAATTGGACAAGCATATGCCAGCAATACCAGTTTGAAAAGGAATGGCATTGCTTTTGTTATCAAAAAGAACATTTCCAGGTCTGTCTTGAACTACAGTGCTGTCAGTGATAGGATATCCATACACCCACAGGGTAGACCAGTTAATATGACCATTATTCAAATATAGGGACCAACCACTAATGCCAAACCTGAAGAAATTGAAGGTTTTTAACAACTTCTGCAGTCTGAAATTAATCATTCAGTAAAGATGTGTTGGTAATTACTACTAATTGGAATGTGAAAGTTGGAAACAAAGAAGCAGCTTCGGTAGTTGGGAAATACGGCCTCAGTGAGAGAGACGATGCTGGAGTTTACATAGTATACATATCTAAAAATATAAAAAGATTATTTTAAGGAATTGATTTTAAGGTGGCTGGTAAGTCTGAAATGTATAAGGCAGGCCAGGAGGCTGGAAACTCAGGCAAGAGTTGATATTGCAGTCTTGAGTCAGAAATCTTTAATGTGGGCCATTGGGCTGGAAACTCAGCAGGATTTCAGTGTTACAGTCTTGTGGCGGAATTCCTTGTGTACTGGAAACTGCAGTGTTTGTTCTTAAGGCCTTCAACTGATTGTATGAGGCCTACTTACATCATCAAGAGTCATCTCTTCTATGTAAAGTTAACTATTTGTAGATGTTAACCAGAGCCACAAGAATACCTTCCCTACAGCATCTAGGCTCTTGTTTGACCAAACACTGGGTACCATCCCCCAGCCGAGTGGGCACAAAATGAGCCACTACAGTGCCCCATCTCCTTTTCCTGCTTCCTTGCCCCGTCTGCCTTAGCACTCCTACATTGCTATCCCTGTTTTTTCATTCATGGTTCCCATCTGTAGCCATGATTTTTCTTGTTTTCTTCCTTTATTTTTCCTTTGATTTCATTCCCTCTAGAACTTTTAAAATTCACTAAACACTAAGCACTAAGTCATCTCTTCTTGCTGAAAAACAAGGGTTTTTTCCTTTTCCCAAAGCATTTGCTTATATTAGGTTCGATGTTGACTGTATCCTATTGCTACTGCCCAGGTATCTTTAGTGGTCAAGCCTTACACATCAGAAAGAGATCAGATTTATTTTGAAAAATGAAACATGACTCCACAGTGGTCAACATTTGTGTACAGGATGATGATCCTTCGATGCATAAATCTGTGTCAATCTGGGCTCATTTTTACCAGGTTTGCTTCTTGTTTTAGTTTAAGTTTTGAGAAATGTTTTGGCAGCCATCCAGCCCTGGTACTGCCTCAGGATCAAACTGTTCCCTTGTTTATAGAAAGTTAAGCTTCACTTTCTAAAACCTGAAAAGAGAATGAGAGAGTGATTGAATAATTGATTGATAAGCTGAAGGAAGTTTCCGGTTAATATATCTAAACCAAATCTTTGAA